GGTTTCTTTCTTGATGGCTTAGGTAAAGTCCAAGAGACTTGCTTTAATTTCCTTTCTCTAAGCTTCCAAACCTATGATTCAAATGTAATCTCAGATGAGTAATAAAAAGTTTTGTGACGTCCAAGCATTGATACTAAATTACAGTTAAAAAGGAATAGGTTGATTGTGTGTCATCAGGAGAGACAGCCACAGAAAGATGTGCCATAACTATAGACACATCTCCTCATGATGTCTCCAAGAGGTAAGAGGTAGATCCAAGAAGTTGCAGTGTTTAAAATTGGTCCCTGGTGCATCCCACAGGTTATTTTAGAGATTTTGGGGAAAGTTACAGTCACAGTTAATAAAAGATTGCCTAAAGTTATGAATGATGTTAAATCCAGTTTGGTGTATTTTGCACCTAGTAGCCACAAATCAATTATTAATGTCTCAAAGAAGTCCATCAGTGCCATGATTCTATCTCATATGAACATCTGTCTTAGTTGCTGGTAATCAAGCCAAAACAAATTCAAATCATCACTGTAAAATTTTCTAACACTGGTAAAACATGATTACATGGTTTTCCTTTCCTCTTAATTAGGAAGGTAGGATTGTAAAATAGTTTTTCTGAGAAGTCTTTTTTTCTCTCTTATTTATTCATCTTCATGATTTCTCTACAGAGAGAACAAGACCTCAGAGGTTCCCAGTGATCAGCCTCCCCAGCAGCATCAAGCACACCTGGACTCCATATTTATGGTCTGTAAATATACAAACAGTACTTTACATCTGTTCACGGTCATTTCTTAAAAATTTTATGCATGTTCTTACAACCAAACACAGAAGTAAAAAGCATGACTATTTTTGAAAATGGCTTCAAAATTCAGATGGTGCAGCAGCAAAAATATAACTGTATGGTATTTACATTGTTTCTATTTAAAGTTGTATTTCAAGCTCTAATATTTCTAAACCACTTGTTAGTTTTATTTAAAAAATACTTTTAAATTGTTACAGAAAGTTGTATTATAATAAAGTGGAAGCAACTGGGAATGAAAGTCTGACTGCACTGTGCCAAGTGTAAAGCTTAGTGGAGGTTGGATTATGGGATTTGTTTGTTTTTCAGGGTTGGGGTTCAGCTCCTTAGTGCTGATCCTGTGTTTGGTTTTCACAAAATTGTGTGGTATGACCAAAGTATTCCATTCAGAGTCTTGTGGTTTGTTTGGATGCAGCTTTACAAACCTAAGCTGTGCTGTTTTCTTCTCAGAAAGAAGAGCTCTCTCCTGGCAACCCTTCTAAACTTGCGATATTTGTTTCTCCTTTTTGTAAATGTACTGTCATAAACTTCAACTCTTTAGCTCTTGTGGTTTTTTGCTGTTTCTTTGAGAATTGTACAGTCTTACCAGGTTTGCCGCAACATCCATACCTTGGAAGACTAGCAGCTGACTTGATTATTTTCCACTTGTGAATAATCTTTAGGATGATGGCCTTCAAATTGTTTTCAACTGGCTTTAAAACTCTTCCCAGATTGATGGGTGTGCATGCCCACATGAATGCAGCATTGAGTGCAAAACAAAAGAAATGGTGTATGCAGACCTGCAGTGCTCAGCAGGAATCTTAACATTCCCTGAGACATTTTCCTCCATCACCAAGGTCTAAAGTTAATTTATTCAGCTTTTAAGGTGGATCTAAAAACAGCAAATTGACACCACATGAAGCCCTAGAATGATGTATAAATAAAACAGATTTTAATTCCAGCTGGATTGTAATTGTTTTCAACATGTTTCTGATGTTTGTATCTATGATTTCAGATTTATTGAGTCATTCATATAAATTTCTGTTCCAGCTCCTGGAGGAGAAAATCATCACTTTTGTGAAGAATGAGTTAAAGAAGATCCAGACAGTTCTGTATCCAGATTATTCAGAATGCTTAAACTGCCAGACGGAGGATAAGGAGATTTTGGAGTGTGAGGATGAAGAGCAAAGGAGTAGCAACAGAGAGGCATTTATAAAGATCACACTGCAGTTTCTGAAAGGAATGAAGCAGTATGAGCTGGCTGACCGTCTGCTGAGCAGTAAGAGGATTTTTCTAAACATATAGGCTGCTGGTTATACTAAGACATTTACTAATGTCTGAAGAATTACACCAGCACATATGTAAACACTCATTCTTTAGAAGAATTAAATGGTGGTATATTTAATATATAACTTAATCAGGTAACATATTGTCTGTTTTCAGGCAGATTTGCTCCAGTTTGTCAACATAATCTTAAATCTCAACTGAAGAAGAAATTCCAGTGTCTGTTTGAGGGGATCGCTAAAGCAGGAAATCCAACCATTCTGAATCAGATCTACACAGAGCTCTACATCACAGAAGGGACAGCAGAAGTCAATGATGAGCATGAGGTCAGACAGATTGAAACAACATCCAGGAGACGAAAACCAGATGGACCAGAAACAACAATCAGACAAGAAGACATCTTTAAAGCCTCACCTGGAAGAGATGAACCAATCAGAACAGTGTTGACAAAGGGAGTGGCTGGCATTGGGAAAACAGTCCTAACACAGAAGTTCACTCTAGATTGGGCTGAAAGCAAAACTAACCAGGACATCAAGTTCATATTTCCATTCACTTTCAGAGAGCTGAATGTGCTGAAAGAGAAAAACTTTAGCCTGGTGGAACTTGTTCATCACTTCTTTACCAAAACTAACGAAGTAGGAATCTGTAGCTTTGAAGACTTCCAGGTTGTCTTTATTTTTGATGGCCTCGATGAGTGTCGACTTCCTCTGGACTTCCACAAAACTAAAATCCTGACAGACCCCACTAAGTCCACCTCAGTAGATGTGCTGCTAACTAACCTCATAAGAGGGAACCTGCTTCCCTCTGCTCACCTCTGGATAACCACACGACCTGCAGCAGCCAATCAAATCCCAGCTGGGTATGTTGACATGGTAACAGAGGTGAGGGGGTTCACTGACCCACAGAAGGAGGAGTACTTCAGGAAGAGATTCAGAGATGAGGAGCAAGCCAGCAGGATCATCTCCCACATCAAGACATCACAAAGCCTTCACATCATGTGTCACATCCCAGTCTTCTGCTGGATCACTGCTACAGTTCTGGGGGATGTGGGGAAGAAGAGAAAAGAGGAAACAAGGACAGCACTACCTACAACCCTGACTGAGATGTACATCCACTTCTTGGTGGTTCAGGCAAAAGTGAAGAAGGTCAAGTATGATGGAGGAATTGAGACAGATCCACCCTGGAGTCCAGAGAGCAAACAGATGGTTGAGTCTCTGGGAAAACTGTCTTTTCATCAGCTGCAGAAAGGAAACCTGATCTTCTATGAATCAGACCTGACAGAGTGTGGCATCGATATCAGCGCCGCCTCAGTGTACTCAGGAGTGTTTACACAGATCTTTAAAGAGGAGAGAGGGCTGTACAAGGACAAGGTGTTCTGCTTCATCCATCTGAGTGTTCAGGAGTTTCTGGCTGCTCTTCATGTCCATCTGACTTTCATCAACTCTGGAATGAATTTACTGGAAAAGCAACAGGAAACCACCCAGAATTTGCAAGAAGAAGAATCTGCAGAGACTGGCTTGTACAAGGGTGCTGTGAATAAGACTTTACAGAGTTCAAATGGACAACTGGACTTGTTCCTCCGCTTCCTCCTGGGTCTTTCACTTCAGACCAATCAAAGTCTTTTACACGGGCTGCTGGAACAGACAGGATGTAGCTCACAGACCAATCTGGAAACAGTTCAACACATAAAGGAGAGGCTCAGTGGAAATCTATCTGCAGAGAAAAGCATCAACCTGTTTCACTGTCTTAATGAACTAAATGAACATTCTATATTGGAGGAGATCCAACAGTCCCTGAGATCAGGAAGTCTCGCTGCTGATAAACTGTCTCCTGCTCAGTGGTCAGCTCTGGTCTTTATCTTATTATCATCAGAAAAAGATCTGGTTGTGTTTGACCTGAAGAAATACTCTGCTTCAGAGAAGGCTTTCCTAAGGCTCCTGCCAGTGATTAAATGCTCCAGCATAGCGCTGTAAGTCATAATGTTTTCATGATTTAAACACACTGTTTTTGTTATTCTGTTTAGCACAGTTGTGTGCTGTCTAGTTTGATGTAAGATTTATATGCCAATTAGAAGCTGCACTTAATGTATAAGCTCATTATGTCATCGGGTTTCTTAGGGTAAACTGGTAACGATTTAGCATGTGCTAAGTTGATGATTTATATAGTCCATGTATAATCAAAAGCTCATGCTGTGCAGTTCACATATTATTATTTTCTTGTCCATTGTTGTCTCCTCAGACTTGGTGGATGTAACCTCTCAGACAGAATCTGTGAAACTCTATCCTCACTACTCAGCTCCCGTTCCTGTCTGAGAGAGCTGGACCTGAGTAACAACAACCTGAAAGACTCCGGAGTGAAAGTACTGTCTGGGGGACTTGAGAGTCCACACTCTAAACTGGAAAAACTTAGGTTACAATTCTTCAAATTTTTCATGATATGTGAAAAATTGTTTTAGTTGAGATCCTAGATATTACATATTAAATTATCAGGACTTTCTCACTACTTTTTTTTCATGTGGTCTGTTTAGGATTTTTTTTTCTCTTTAATTAAAGAAATGACACTCATGAAGCACTTTGAGAGCTCAGGTAGAGTAGACAAGTGCTATCTAAGAACCAGTATATTTACCATTTACCACGTGAGCACCAGTCCAACTTTTTTCTAATAGTTTAATAGTTTCTGTCATGTATGCTGTCTGCAGATTGTCAAGTTGCTCAGTCACAGAAGAAGGTTGTACTGCTCTGACATCAGCACTGAACTCCAACCATTACTACCTGAGAGAGCTCGACCTGAGCTACAATAATCCAGGAGAGGCAGGGGTGAAGATGCTGAAGCAGCTCCGACTGGACACTCTCAGGTGTGCAGAGGCTGTTTGCAGCCACAGTGTCTAATAGAGGAAGATGATTTTGAAAGTTTTTCTTACAGTCACACATAAAGTAGCCTTTTTCATTTAGCTCGTTAAAGGAATTTTGCTTGAACGTGAACAAGAAATAAGGGAAAGGTTTGTGAATCTGTAGCTTCGTAGTCTCATGCAGCCCATTTGTCCGCATGATTATGAATATAAATGTGAACCAAATAAGCAGAGGGTATGTTTTTGAGGATTCATATTTTCCCCACCACCCCTGGATAACAAGCCATGCCAAGTGTTTTGGGAGGGGTTTGTTTTGTTTTTTTGTTGTATTTTTTTTACTGGTTTACTACTTTACAAATGACTAAGCTGCCAATGTTTTATTACTATACTTGGCTACTTTTAATGATATGGACAAGGAGGATTGAAAGTGGACTGCATTACTTTGAACCACTATTTCCAAAGAACATGCTTAGGTTGGTCGATATGTAAAAAAATTTCCAACCGATGCAGGCAATATATTCACGTATGCACAGACTTTTTGATGGGCGGAGCAATGTAATGATGCACATACTGATTTGCGCGTTTAGAACACAGATGAAGTCCAAACATGGACAAAGTAATTGCGAAATTGCACACTGGAGGAGAAGGCACAGATAGAAATCGACTGTTACCTCAGTGAGGAGTTGTTTGGTCGAGTGTGTAAGACAGATAAACCCTGGAAATGCCTGTAAACACGGTTATAGTGGCTTAAAAATAAGCCAGTTTCTCTTTGTTTCCCTCCCCACCATTGTGGGTTTTTTTATTTGATGAAATGCTTTTGTTTTTTTTTAACATAGGCTACTGCCGTTCTTTCTTTCTCTTATTTGAGTAAATCGCTCCAGCACTCTAAGGAGGGTGCATTTGCTCACAGCTGAAGGAGGGTCACGTTAAAACAGCGCTATTATTTGTTTCTGTTGACTGCTTCTGTTAGCTTTAGCCAACATTATTAGCAAACTTATTCATGGGCAAATAAAGAAATAAATCGCCCTTGTAAAAACGATTGAGCCTATAGTCAATAGTCGATATATTCCTCCAATCGCCCAATCTTAGTACATGCAAATAATTTGTATTTCAGTTCTCAACTTTAGACTTTAACTTTGTTTTACAGGTAAAACAATTTATTGCAATTAAATTACAATCAATTGATTATTATTGTATTAACCCTCTGGAGTCGACGGACGCGCCAGCACATCAAAATCACATGACCAATTTAAGACGACACAGCTACAAGATGCAGTGACTCAGTCTCCATTTGAATTTGGGTCGAGAGTACGGACTTCAAACGATATACCAATTTTTGAATTGTGTCAATGGGCCACGTAAAGCCAGAGTTATGATAAAAAATACACGCGATGTTTTTTGTGAACAAAACAGTGGTGTTTACAGCGGGAAGAACGGTAAAAACTGCGTTTTCTACAGACAGCGCTAGCAAACACTCGCCACTTGCGAGTGAAAAAAAAGGAAAAAACACTCCTTCCCTATTGGTGTTAGAGTTTACCATGCGGCACTTGGTTGTTTAGGGAGAAGGGGAAGTTTTAGGAGTGACACCCGCAACGTAAAGCGGGCAAGCGAAAGAAAGAGAGAGAGCGAGTTTTCATATGTGAGACATTAGTGATGTGTAGCGTGTTTGGAGGCTAGAGTTAGTGTGTTGTGTAGTTATTGTTTTGTATTGTGTGTCAGTTATACTGCTGAATGTCACATTTGCTCCAAAAAAGCCATCAAAGGCAGATTCCAGTGTAAACGCTGTTCCCACATGGAAAACTGGACTGATGCACCTCCTGCTGTCAGACCTGCAGGGTTTAGGCCTGTGGTGTTCTCCTCTGTCTTATACTGAACACAAACTAGTTTTTTGGACTCGCACAAATAATTTGTGTGCCTTCTCATTTGATGCAGCACACATGATTGTTCTGTAAATAGATTTAAATGGTTATTTAAAAAACACCTGAGGCCTTGGCTGCATTTTTAGGTAAAAAGTACCATATAACTTTGTTGTTTGCAAAACTTGTGTATAATTTTTAGAAATGTACAATTTCTATTTGTATTTCAAGTTATGAAAATGATTCGTTAAACATGTTTGTGGGTTTTACAGTAACAAATATAACTTTTTTCTACTCAGATTTTGAATTTTTTTGTCTGAATTTAGATAAATTGTGCTAATATAGTATGCCAAAATGAAAAACTAACTCAAATTTCAAATATTTGAGGTTGTGCTGAAAATAATGATACAAAACAAGGCAAGATAAACAGTTTTTAAAGGTGAAATATAGAAAAGTATCAAAAGTAGTCAAAAACGGTCAATTATACCCTGGACCCCAGAGGGCTAATATTATTGTAATAAAAATGAAGTATAAAGTATAAAATGACCATAAATACGTCACTGCGATTTAGTCGGATGTTAAAAAATATAATTTCTATTTTGTGCAAATAATGCACAAAGTGTATAAATAATAAAATGTCTTTAGGATATTTGGAATAGACCAGCAAGGATTTAGCATGTGCACAGTTAATAATCAGTATCGACTGCACATTTTAAAGTTTTTTTGTTTGTTTGTTTGTTTATTTTGGTTTGTGTGTTTGTTTGGGGTTTTTTTACCTCTTGTTGTCTCAACAGACTAAGTGGTTGTAACCTCTCGGACAGAATCTGTGACACTCTATCCTCAGTTCTCAGCTCCCACTCCTCTAGTCTGAGAGAGCTGGACCTGAATAATAATGACCTGAAGGACTCGGGAGTGAAAACACTGTGTGGTGGACTAGAGAGTCCATACTGTAAACTGGAAATATTCAGGTCAGGATTCTTCAAACTTTGCATATAAAGTCCATTTAAATCATATTCAATGCTAACCTATGTGGCTAACCAGGGCTATTGTTGATTTATTCTGCTATATTATGCTATATTATTAAAACTTTATCTAATAAGAGGATTTCTTTTCACACAGACTGTGTAGCATCGATTTGTTGTTGTTTTTAATTTGATGTAATTTATTAAAGATGTTTACATTTTCCTCAGAATCAACTACAGTAATTTACACCAGGCTTTTTTATTGAGAGTAATTATCTGGTAAACTTTTTAAGTAGTACTTAAATCCCTACAAAACTAATGACACTCATATGAGCATCAGTTCTACTTTGTGTAGGGCTTGTCCTAATTCTAAGTTTAATAGTTTCATTAATTGAACAAATAAACTTTTAGCTCAAAATATCTCTGTTAAAGCTAACTCTGCGCTTCAATTGATCACATATTTGTTTTGTGGCGGTATTGTTTCTCGCTATTTGACTGCGTCACTGTTCTCTTATACTATCTGTCACATGTGCTGTCTGCAGATTGTCAGGCTGCTTGATCACAGAAGAAGGTTGTACTGTTCTTATCTCAGCGCTGAACTCCAACCATTCCACCCTGAGAGGGCTGGACCTGAGCTACAATGATCCAGGAGAGGCAGGGGTGAAGCTGCTGAAGCAGCTCCAACTGGACACACTCAGGTATGAAGTGGCCTTTGGCAGCCAAAGTGTCTGGCAATGGAGAAAGAGACACTTGAGGAAATAGGAAAAATTTCTTCACACATCAAGGAGCTTTTTTTTTAGATAATATTTTGCTCCAAGCCACATAAAAGAAAAACAAGTCTTATATCCGTGTGAATGTTAAATAAATGAACACTGGTTTGTTTGTTTTGGGTTTTTTTTTACTTTTAGTACCACACACTGCTGTGCTTGAGGCTAGAGTGGTTTATTTAATATCACATTAGGATTTTTATTTGATTGTTTTGCACAAACAAGGATTGAAAGTTCTCTGTGTAGCTTTTTTTTATACTGGCAATATATTTTTTTTATTACTTTATTACTTATGACTAAGTAGACCAATATCGATATAATATTTATAATTCATTTGTCACAGTGAGCTGAAGCAGACTGTTTGAATTTGTGAAGAGTGGACCCAAAATGCAGACACAGAGGAACATGGAACCAAAACTTGAGTATTAACAAAAAGCGAGCCATTTAATGTGGCTGATGAAGAAATACAAAGAAATATATAAGGCAAACAATGACAAGAATAAACAATAACCTAAACTGAGGAAACTAAAGATAAACATAAAAAACAAAAACATGAAAAAAACATGAAACTTGGCATGGATACAATGATACCTGGAACATAGACACATGGCGCAAAAGACAAAAGATGGCCTGACACTGAACAAAGGAGGACAGAGGGCTAGTACACAATCAGATAATGGGGGGATGGGGAATAGGTGGGAACACAGCTGGAACAAATCAGACCTAACAAGACAAGGGGAAGCAAAACTTGACACACTGCACATAGGACAGGGACTTTCACAATAAAACAGGAAACGGCATGGAATGCAGACATGACAACATGGACAAGAAGACAAGAAACATGACAGACTAATACAGAAGACATACGTGAAAGATAACTAAATTTAAGGCAACCAAATGATAATCTTATTACACAATATACACTAAACAAAAATATAAACACAACACTTTTGTTTTTGCTCCCATTTTTCATGAGCTGAACTTAAAGATCTGAAACATTTTCTACATACACAAAGGACCCATTATTATCAAATATTGTTCACAAATCTGTTTAAATCTGTGTTAGTGAGAACTTCTCATTTGCCGAGATAATTCATCACACCTCACAGGTGTGGCATGTCAAGGTGCTGATTAGAAAGCATGAATATTGCACAGGTGTGCCTTAGACTGCCCACAATAAAAGGCCACTCTGAAATATGCAGCAAGTGTTGTTTTCAATAAATTGCATGATCAAAAATTTTTTTCTTCTTAAGAACCAACCATGCAACATATAATTTGCATATTTTTGGTGCAGCGTATTTTGGGGTTTGGAAATGTTGAAACGTTTCTCCCACTGAAAACGCTACATCCAGATGAACAAAATCAACTTTTGGAGGTTTTGATTGGGAACTTTTTAAATTTGGTATTAGTCAGTATAATGAGGCTTTAATTATCTTTCCAGAGACTGATTTAACTCAGGGTCTCTCATCCAGTGTCCTGAGCTTTCAATGTAAGCTTTCACTTTCTGTCATACAGACTTCATCAGTGTCTAACAGTATGTGTATGAGAGCGATGTAATGCCCATGTGTGCCTGCTGAAAGAGACTGTGCTGGTCTGACGCCCCTCCTCCTTTCAGGGTGGAGCCTGCTGGAGTCCGATGGTTGAGACCAGGTCTGAGGAAGTGTAAGTGTGTTTTTAATGTGATTCATGAAAACAAAGCAGCACACATTCAACCCCCTTCAAACTGTCACATCACTCATTCACATCTCTGATGTCAGGAGTCATCATCAAAATGTCAATCAATGAACAGATGATGGATCAATAACTGCAGCTGTATTGTGTTTGTTCTCTCCATCAGATTCCTGTCAACTCACAATCGACCCAAACACAGTGAACACAAAACTGAAACTGTCTGACAGCAACAGGAAGGTGGCACGTGTGGAAGAGGATCAGTCATATCCTGATCATCCAGACAGATTTGACTTCCATCCTCAGCTATTGTGTAGAGATGGTCTGACTGGTCGCTGTTACTGGGAGGTCGAGTGGAGAGGAGACGTTTATATATCAGTGAGTTACAGAAGAATTAGAAGGAAAGAAAATGCTAAACATTGTTTGTTTGGATGGAATGATCAGTCCTGGAGTTTGTATTGTACAGATGATGGTCCTCATTCTGTCAGACACAACAACAGACAAGCATCCATCTCCTCCTCCTCCTCCTCTGTCTCTAACAGAGTAGCAGTGTATGTGGACTGTCCTTCTGGCACTCTGTCCTTCTACAGAGTCTCCTCTGAAACTCTGATCCACCTCCACACTTTCAGCACAACATTCACTGAACTGCTTTATCCTGGATTCAGAGTCTTGTTTGGGGCCTCTGTGAGTCTGTGTGGCATTTGATAAGAATCTTCACCTGTTAGAGATGCACAGAAGAAGAATTTAGAAAATATTCAGACATTCACAAGTTTAGTGAGCAGCCAGGCTTCAGCCTGATGTCTGATTGGGTGCGTAGCCTCCAGCTTACTTCCACATGGGGGGCGGTCGTAGCTCAGGAGTAAGCAACATTTTATTTATATGGCACCTTTCAAGACAAGGATAACGAAGTGCTTCACAATAAAATAAAATAAAAAACGGAGCACTAAAAAAAGACTAAACAAAAGCAAGTCTAAGATGAGTTTTTAGTTGTTTCTTAAAACAACTAATACAGTGAGCTGCTCACAGACGCTGGTTTCTGGAAGTGTTCCTGAGCCCATGCACTGATATTTTATTGCAGCGCTAATGAAGGTAATAGCAATCTCACTGATCTGAAAATGCCACCAAATAAGCAAACTCATGAGTTGAAGAGGAGTCGGAGGAGATCAGGAAATCGCCAAATTTCATTTTGGACGAACTGAGCAAAGTGGCTAAACAACAAGGTATGCTACATGTCCTAATAAATGAGATAAAACAACTAAAAAACCTGATAAAGGAGAAGGACAAGAAAATAGACGGCTTGGAACAGCAAATCGAGGGCCTTGAACAATACACAAGAATGAGTATTTAATCATAAGTGGACTAGAGATGTAACACTGAACCTACACCAGAACAACAGCTGGCAGAGGTAGAGATGGTGAAGATGCCCCAGCAGAGGAGCTGCAAACACTTGAACAGCAAGTGATAAATTCCTCCAAATGAAGAATGTGAGTATTCAGAGACATCATATCACAACAAGTCACACGCTCTGTATAGATAGTAAAACAAATCCCGTTTTGAAGAAGCTAAAGAGGACTGGTGTGTATTTCCAATGAACATTTAATGAAAAAAACTGCTGAAATTGCAAAACAGGCACGTAGCCTGAAAAAGCAAAACAAGATACAAGCACCATGACCGAGGAACTACAAAGTAATGATAAGACTGAATGGTACTCCTAAAGAAGTGAAAGTTCTGATAATAAGAGAACTCAGAGACTTAGAACAATACAAACGAGCAGGAGTCTGCCCTTTACTGTAAATGTGATGACTGGATATTATGAACAATGGATGTGGAAACATAAATGACAAGGTTGGATTATATGTTTCCATGAAGACGAATACTTTGATTATGAAAAGGACTGTCAAGGTGGTTATAATTTCTAATAAATACATTACTTTTAATATCGCTGTGTGGTTTTCATCTGTAAAGCTGAATAAGATCAGAACAAATGTCATTCATTTCTGTTGCTTATTTATTTGTAGAAAATAAACTGATAATAAATTGACTTCCTAATCCCGATGGGAACATTGAAGCTCAGAAGAGCAGAAACAAAAGGAGCACTCACTGGACCAAGTTTTTACAGAGCTTCTCACAAGACTTTAGATTTTTTGTTTGTCTTTGGCTTTTAATATATAATGAAAGGTTGAAAGTTTAACGTTGCATCTTGACTGAAACAATCTGAGAAATTTAGAATTTTTGGGGCATCTCTTAAAAATGATGAAATGCTCATTTTGCAGTCTTTATCAGTCTTTCTTCAAAATGTAAGTTTTGTACCACTGAAGATTCAAACTGTTCTTAGTTCAAGTCCTGCGGTGGGATAGCGCAATGGTCCAAGGTGACGTAGGTTTGGAGGTTGTTAATTCAGTCCCAGAAGAATTTTTAGAATTTGACATTAAGTGGAAGGACTGAGGAGCAGATTTAAGGCTAGCCCTAACAAAAAGATGGGCTCAGTCACCAGGAGAATTACTTGACATTGCTATCATGAGCTTATTATATGTTATATTACAGTATGTTTATAACTAACTAGCTCATTCTCTCTATTGATAATACTTTCTTTAAAGATATAATGCTTTTGGGGGTCTTAAAAGAAGGGCTTATGTGAAATGTAAAAGTGAGGGCAGAGGTAAAAAATGACACGATATTTAGAATCTGCATATATGATTCCCTATATACTTTAATGTTGTTACAAGCCTGCAGTAAGAACTGCAAAAACTGTTTTAAATAGTTGTATATAGGGTTATTATTATTATTAGGATGATTATTGACCTTGAAAAAGAGGTCAGAGGTCAAATGTTGCATGATATTTTAAATCATTCTATGGGACTTTCTATATGGTGACATTTCACACCACACTTGTAAGAATCACAGGTTCTGAGTTATGAGGCTTTTTTGTCAATTCTCAAACAATAACTCACTAAGCTGACCTTGAAGACCTCAGTGGATGTAAACCCAATTTTAATGGATTGTTAACACCACCCCAGTCTCCAAAGTTTTATCAGAATTCATTCAAAACTTTTTGAGCTGTCACTAGCCACTGGAGGGGGCTCTAACACTGCAGATAAACTGGAGGAAGACCTCATTAGATCATTTGGTTATAACTAGAACAGATATAACAGTTGTGTTTCATAAAGATGCTGAAAGTACACTTCACACGTCTGATGACATGAAGCTGTTTTTCAGACTTCCTTAAACTCCTCCTGAAACACGAACACACCGATATGCATATGTGTAGATTTCAGAGGGCACACAGGGGACACTCAAACATGTGCACATCCTAGTGTACATTTTAAGTAAACCACACAGAGATGTATTAAAATGAATGACTCTATGAGTGATGTGACTTGGTGACACATTTAATCAAAGTTAAATAAAATCAGCTCGTTTTCTGGCTCGGGATGAATTTGATTTTAGGTGTTTGGACCTCCTCGCTGTCAGCAGGTGTTGCTGAGTGTCTGTAAATCCTTGTTGTCTCTAAACTATGCTGCAGTTAGTGATGAGTGTGCGTTCATCCATATACACCGAGCTTCCTGCCTGTGTCAAGGAGCTGCTAATTAGCCTGTGTGTAATTTTCATTGTTGCCAATTACAGCCAGAGGGGCTCTGTGCGCACGTGTGTGTGTGTGTGTGTGTGTGTGTGTGTGTTTACATTCAATGCTAACGAGCCGGCATGCCTTGCCAAGCGGTTGACCCACTTCCCAAAAGGAGGTCCCAAAGGACTAACACACATGCGCGCACACACACACATACACACACAAAACCACAAAGTAGTAGGCATGTCCATCAGGTCACATGATCACATCTCTCAGCCTTATCTTGAATCTTAGGGTTGACGGACTAGTTTTGCTTGGGAAGCTGACTGAGGTGGCTTCAATGTTTCCTTTATTATCTCCCTCAGCAGTGAAAACACTGGAGCTTCTCTGAAAAGAAAGGACATAATTCCATCCCATAATTCACAGTGACACTGTCCTTTTCATTTCCTTGTGATGCAGACCATGTAAATGTGAACTATTAGTGCATTTTCCATTTCATTGCAAAACCCACTGATTTGTTTTAAAAGTTAGACTGTTAAACACTCAGGTGATATCTGAACATTACGCTGCTGTGATAAAATCCTCTGTGATTGCAAGAAAAACATACGTTTATATATGAACAGTTCTTTTAATCAAGATTAAGAGCTATATTTGCATGATTAAAGTTCACTCCATCCATCCATCCATTATCTGCTGCTTGTCCATGTCTGGGTCATGGGAGGAGCAGTCTCAACAGAGAGACCCACACCTCTCTCTAACAACGAGGCATTCCCAAACCAGCTGAGAGGAATAATCTCTCCATCTTGTCCTGGTTCCATCTTGCAGCCTCCTCTCAGTTGGAAATGCAGAAAATACCTCACCTCGGAGGCATCTTGGTCAGGAGACGAGGCTTTACTGTCATCTCCCTCTCTGAGAAGGACGGTCATTTCTGTTTTCAGGATTATCATGACTAAATTTTTACTTTGAAGGAGCCAGGACCTTACCTGGGACCTTAAATGGGAAAAAAATGGGTAAGTATCAGTTAGGAGCACTTAAACTTTCAAAATAAGAGTGTCTGCACCAGTAGAGCAAGACGGACATAGTAGTATCTGTATACTGCATGCAGTACACTACAGCAAAAAGTAAATGCCTGTGAGGCATGCAAACCAATCAGCACTCAAAGGCATCAACATAACCAACTGTTAGTGAACTAACCACAGTTTAAATGCACTTCACAAAGTCTAATTTCAAGTGAAGCCATACTTCAATATATATAGTTTATAAGATTTAAAGCTAAAGCCAAAATACTACAGCAGAACCTTAAATCACCACAGTTTAAAAACGAGGCTAATCTCAAAGGCAAACCTCAGGACTGATTTACATTTTTTTAAAACAACAGAAAGATAATGTCAGCATATTTATTCACATATGTAAAACACTTCAACTACAACAAATTCATTACATGAAAAATTCATGAAATTCATTGAATATGCATTCTAATATTATAATGACAATAAAAAGAAGCGCTGCTGTTTCCTAAATCCAACTGAGGTCTTTAAAATGATCACAGTGAAACTCCACTGAAGCTCCAAACATTTGGCTTTTGACACTTAAGCTTTAAAAAAGCCACATGGGGAAATGAAGTGCAGTGCAGGTTTTTGCATTTGGTTCCTTGTTCTCCACGACACTGATTTGTCAGAATAAGATTTGTTGCCTCTTTTTCC